AGTAGTGGTGTACCTATGATTCACATGATAAGGTTCTAAAGGGTATATTCATTCTGAGAGCTGTCTCCTTTGGGAGGAGAAATGCATTTCAGAGTAATTAGGCTTTGAAATGTAAATGTCACCATATTCTTTGTTAAGTCTCAGAGAAGCCCAAACATTTGAATACTGCTAAAAAAATGTTGCACAGGGAGAAGCCAGTGACCCATCTGCTGTGCAGAATTTGGCTTGGAAACCTGGATCATGATAAGTTTCTAAGCCATTGTGCAGGACAAAGTGACTTAGTGCCACCAAGATACTCTGTGACTTGCAGGTACTAGGCATTTTAGCCTTTTTATTTATTGATTGATTGATTATATATATTCATGGGGTACAGAATCGAATATCAATACATGTGTATAATATGTGGTGATCAAATCAAGATAATTAGTATACTCATGTTTACAAAACATAATCAATCTTTGAGACCCTTAACTACTTTCTTGCCAACCCCCCTTCACCTTCCCCTTTCCCACCTCTAAAACCAGTTCTGCTCTCTCTTTTTTTTTAAAGTTTGATGTATCATTGTGATTGTTTCTTTCTTTCTTTCTTTCTTTTAGCTCCCACTGATGAGTGAGGACATGTGGTATTTCTCCTTCTATGCCTGGCTTATTTCACTTAACATAATTTTCTCTAAGTTCATCCACGTTGCTGCAAATGCCAGAATTTCATTCTTTTTTATGGCAGAGTAGTATTCCACTGAGTATATATACCACATTTTCCTTATCCAGTTATCTGTCAATGGACATTTAGGTTGATTCCAACTCTTGGCTTTTGTAAATAGAGCTGCAGTAAACATGGGAGTGCAGGTATTCCTCTAATATGATGGTTTCTATTCCTTTGGGTATATACCCAGCAATGAGATGGCTGGATTGTATGGCAGTTCTATCTGTAGTTGTCTGAGGAACCTCCATACTGTTTTCCATAATGGCTGCACTAATTTACAGTTCCACCAACAGTGTAGGAGGGCTCCCTTTCTCCACATCCTCACCATCGTTTATTATTCTATCTGTTTTATAATAGTCAGTCTAACTGGGGTGAGATGATATCTCAGTGTGGTTTTGATTTGTGTTTCCCTGATGCTGAGTGATGTTGAACATTTTTTCATGTCTGTATTGGCCATTTGTATATCTTCGTATGAGAAATGTCTATTCAGCTCCTTTGCCATTTTTTAATTGGGTTACTCATTTTCTTACTATTGAGTTATTTGAATTCTTTGTATTTTCTAGATATTAATCCCTTGTCGGATGCATGGTTTGCACATATTTTCTCCCATTCTATAGGTTGTCTTTTCACTCTGTTAATTGTTTCTTTAGCTGTGCAGATTTTTAGTTTGATATAATCCTATTTGTTTATTTTTTCTTTTGTTGCCTGTGCTTTTGGGGTCATATTCATAAAGTCTTTGCCCAGTCCTATATCCTGAAGTGTTTCTCCTATGTTTTCTTTTAGGAGTTTTATAGTTTCAGGTCTTATATCTAAGTCTTTAATCCATTTTGAGTTGATATTGGTATATAGTGAGAGGTACGGGTCTAGTTTAATATTTTTACATATGGATTTCCAGTTTTCCCAGCACCACTTATTGAAGAGGCAGTCTTTTCCCCAATGTATATTCTTGGTGCCTTTGTCAAAGATCAGTGGCTGTAAGTTTGTGGGTTGATTTCTGGGTTCTCTATTCTGTTCCATTGGTCTGAGTGTCTGTTTTTATGCTAGTACAAGGCTGTTTGGGTTACTATAGCTTTGTAGTATAGTTTGAAGTCAGAGAGAGTTCAATGCCTCCAGCTTTATTTATTTATTTATTTTTTGCTCAGGATTACTTTGGCTGTTCAGGTCTTTTGTTGTTCCATATGAATGTTAGGATTGTTCTTTCTATTTCTGTGAAAAGTGTCATTGGTATTTTGACAGGGATTGCACTGAACCTGTAGATCACTTTGGGTAGTATGGCCATTTCCACAATGGCATTTCTTCTAATCCAAGAGCATGGAATGTCTTTCCATCCTTTTGTGTCCTCTTTAATTTCTTTCAGCATTGATTTCTAGTTCTCATTGTAGAGATCTTTCATCTCCTTTGTTTCCAGCTGTGGCTAGGACCACCACCCAAGCCACCTCACTAGCCAGCCCAGCTGTGCATGATATCCCTGCTGCACCTGCTTGCAGTGTAGAGGCCATCGCCAGGGGCCATCCATACAGCCTCACCAGCCAGACCAGCCAGTGTGGCTGCTGCTACCATAACCATTGGACCAGCTGTTTTAGCCTTTTTAGATTGTTTTTATATGTTTGGGCCAAAACAGGTCATCTTGCAAGCATTACTTTTCCATTTTAATACCAATTTTATTTTTTTATTTAATTTAATTTTATTTTATTTTATTTTTATTTTGTCAATATACAATGTAGTTGATTATTGTGTCCCATCACCGAAACCTCCCTCCCTCCTCCCTCTCCCCCTCCCTCCCATGTGTGTCCCCTCCATTTTCTTGTTGTAAGAACTTCAAAAAAATTGTGGTTGTTATATCTTCTTCCTCTCCCCCCCCGGTTTTATTTTTTGTTGTTGTTGTTGTTGATGTTGTTGTTGTTGTTGTTGCTTGTTTGTTTTTTTGTGTGTGTGAGTGTGTGTGTGTGTGTGTGTGTGTGTGTGTGTGTGTGT